CAGATGCAGCAGGAGCAGTGGCAGCTGAAGCACGAGGTGGGTCCACGGGCTGCTCCTCTCCCCTTGCTGCCCACCCCAGGGGGAGCCCGGAACCCCCATGGCAGCTCCCCGATGGGCGAGGGGGCGCTAACATCCTTGTTGCCGTCCCAGAGCACGGCCCAGTGCCACCAGCATGGCGTGGAGCTGCAGCGAGCGCTGGAGGCCAGCGAGAGGGAGGTGCAGCGCTTGGTCACGGCGCAGAGGGAGGTGAGCTGCCCCCAGCCCCTCGTCCCCCATCACGTGTATGGGGTCTGTGGGCTGTGCCTGTAGCAGCAACGTGGTGTTGTACACCTGCTCTCGGGCTGTCCCCAGCAGTCCTCAATGCAGGCTGTGACACAGGGCCGCCATCCCCTCTCCTTTGCCAACCCCGTCCCCACGCTCCCCTCTGTCCCCAGCGCACCTGAGTTGAGCTTCCTACTCTCCACCCTCTGAGGGGGGGGAAAAAATTCAGCCCCAGGTCTAGAGGAGATGGTTATCCATCGTTCTTTGGCACGGGTCTCATGGGGGGTCCTGGCAGGGTGTGAGTGTCCTGGTTGCCATCCCGCAGCTGGAGGCACGGTGCCACAGCCTCCGCGGCACGCAGCAGGCTGCCAGCACCGAAAACCGGCAGCTGGAGGAGAGCAACCGGGTGCTGGAGGACCACCTGCAGCACCTCCACCAGCAGCTCCAGCAGACCCACGGGCGCCTGCGGACAGCGAGGGCTGCACTGGCTCGGGAGCACGCAGAGGAGCCCGGGTGAGTAGCTGAGGGACCGGCACGTCCCTCTGCGCCTTTGCGGTTTCCTCCTGGGGGTTGCAGCGGGTGGGGAATGAGTTTGATGTGTCTCAGCCATCGTTACGCTTCAGTGGTCTCCACGGTGCAGACTAATTGCGGCTTGGTGTGAAAAGCATCAGAAGAAAAGCCGGGACTATCAGCACCGTGCACTTAACGTGTCCCTGTAGGGCAGCGCCAGCAGAGACGGGGACGTCCTTCACCCAGAAGGACCCACCTAGGACTGATCCAAGGGGTTTGCTATCCTGCTCCAGCCCAACGCTGCTGCTGGGGCTGGGGACAATCCTGGGGCAGGCGTGGGCACGGTGAAGAGGCTGCGATTGCCATTTTGACCCCTGTGCTCTGTGTTTGCAGGGACAGAGCGGCGGCAGAGCTGCCCGGCGAGATGCCAATGTCCCCGCAGGTACTTCAGCTGGGTGCGAGGGGATGGGATGGGGTGTCCATGCTCCAGGGCCTTATGCTCTTCGGTTTGGGAGTGCTGGGGAGCCCAAGAGCACAGAGTGCTTCCGCAGCAGAGGCGGTGCCTCCCCTAAAAGCTTTCTCAAAGTGGGTCAGTGCCATACAGAAGCTTGGGAAGGGAGGGGGTAGCAACACCTTAGTACTGGTACCCCCAAGATTTTGTGGGGGTACATCTGGATACCTGCCGGAGAGCTCAGCATCATTTCAGGTAGATACTTTCCCTCACCAAGCACGTTTCTCTCTGCAGATGAGTCTGGAGAACAGCGCGAAGCACCACTCCAAGATGCAGACTAGGCTGGGGTCCCAGAGCGGCAAGCTCAAAGCCAAGAGCACCCACCAAGTGTAAGGGGTCCTGGGCACCTGCTGCTGCTTCAGCTCGTGCCCTTGACATCTGCGAGCTCGTGCCGAGCACCCGAGTCCTCCACCCTCCCCAGGCAAAACACGATATTTAGTCCTTTTAGTGCTCCTTTCCCACCCACCCCTCTCATCCCGGAGATCAGGTCTCTTATCCCGGCTCACCGCCCTGCATCGCTCCCTTGGCTCAGGCACTCGCCATACCTGGCCGAGAGTTGTCTTTTCACCTCTGGTAACGTGAGCGTGGAGCCTGGGAAGAGGCACGCTCGCCTGCCGGGCAGGATACGGCCCCAGGTCTGGCTCCCTGGGTGTGCATCCCCCCTTTCCCCTGTCCCCATCGCTACCTGCGTGAACTGCCAGTACACCCAGAGGGTACATCTGGTTTGGAGAGGGATGGGGTGAGGTGGTAGACCAGGGACCCCCGCCCAGTTGGGTGGGAGGGAGCTGGAGCCCAACCTGGGAACTGGGCTGATCCTCCCCATTTTCTGCCCTTTCCAGGGTTTGGGAAGTGCTGCCAGCAGAAATAAGCCCTTTGGGAGCCCCGCCGAGAGCAAGCTCCGTGGAAGAGAACCCTATCCCAGAATTTCTGAAAGAGGAACGCTTTTCTGACCGAAGCTCTTTGCTAAGAGAGATGAATGACGCAATAGCGGCTCTGAGCAAACAGTCAAAGCCACAGGCCCTGGTTGCACCTCCCATGCAGGCAGACACTGCCCGTCACCCCCGGGATGATGCTGAGCCCCAAACGGGGCTGGAGGCAGCCGCAGCCCGTGGCACAAGCCCTGGGGTCCTGCAAGAGACCCTCCCTGGACACATCAGTCACAAGCTGTTTGAAGGAGACCCGAAAGAAGGACCAGCCCCAGCTGAGCTTCGTGCTCCAGACGTGACACAGGCTGGTGCGTCCACAGGAGCCGGGCCCTGCAGGGCTCAGGAGCCGGGGGCAGAGCAGGGAGAGAGCCTGGAGGAGGTGCAGGGGATGTTCTCGCTGCAGGGGAAGGGTGCTGCTATGAAGGAGCTGATGCTAAAGGCGGCTGAGGGTCTGCAAGGAGCGCCGGGAGAGAGCACGGAGGCAGGAGAGCAGGTGCTGATGGAGGTGGAGGGAGAAGGATGGATGCAGGAAACAACAGGTTGGGAAAAATCACAGCCCCTAGGAGAAGCTGAGGAAGCGGCATTAAGCCAGGGAGAAAATCTGGAGGCAGGTCTGGGGCCACCTGAGGCTGAGCAGGCAGGTCTAGCAGTGGGGTGGCAGCTTGCCACAGCTGAGCTCGGCCAGCCCGCGGCTCCTGGAGAGTATGCACAGCCCCCGGGCACGGGGCTGGGGCAAGAGGCTGACCCACCGTCGGGGCTCTGCGAGAGACTTGAAATAAAGCCAGGAGAACATCTGGAGCCAGAGCCACCATCCCGAGGTGAGACACGGGTGGTAGCAGGCCAGGGGG